TTTTTTCTTTTATTCCATGGATTTTACCCATTTACCTCCACTTGTTCCCAGTGCTTTTCTGCAACCACTATGCGCGCGCAGCTGCGAGTGACGTAACTGTGACGTCTACTCTGAATTGGTCTATTGCCTTATCAGTTTGTAAAGACATAAGGGAAAGTAAATAATGACAGAATTTTCATTTTTGGGTGAACATACACTTTAAAATGCACATTTAAGTGCAATATTGTTGATTCCCAACACCAAAGTGATATTGAGTATCAATATTAGTAAAGAAAAAAAAAACTATAAATATCTAAATGTCCTTTTCTAATTTCTAATTTGAATTAAATATCTGCTTTGGAAAAAATGTCTCTGAGTGGGTGCTGCAGTATACATTTTTTTATTTTTATAAAGAGGATGTTCCTTATACAGAGAATGTTCCTCAGTTTAGCAAATGAGCTCATTATGTGAAGCATAAGACACCTCGACCAATATAAGATGCCTGACAGAGAGGAGAAATATAAATAATCTGTAAGCATATTCCCTCACTTCTGCAAGTGATACAATAAGTGCTGGTAGTACAACAATGCACCCATTTTTGTTTCAGACTTATTTATGATTTGTCGGAACACATCTGGAACACATCTGCTTCCTCAAATGGGAGGGAAAGTGTTTAAATGTGCCTTTCCAATGCATACTCCTTGGTACATACTCTCTTTCCCCTGTACGGGAAGAGTCATAACTCTCACATATATGACTGACAGAATATTTCATCTTCAAAGTTCACATTGCTCTGTCTGAACCCTTGAAAGTCCACCATCTAGACACAAATGCTTGCAGAAATACATTCAAAATAAAAACATATCTCGTTATTTATGCCAGAAAAAGGAGTGCAAATGGCCCTGAATTGTCTTTTTTTCTCCATTTAAATTGTGCTGAAATGTATCAACAAAGCAACATTTATGTAATGTTCAATACTCTTAAAGTTTACAGCCTCACATTAAGTGAATGCAACCTGCAAGCAATTTGAGTATAATGGAAATGTCAGGACAGTTAGGTCATGCCACAGTTGAGATTAATTGGAAAATACAGTATATGGAAGCACTATGTAGCTTTTATGGGCATCTATTATTCATCCGTTCATTTTAAAACATGATTTTTGTGATCTGTCATTCGCAGACATGAGACATGACTTATCTGCTATGATACTTTTTAAATAGCATTGCATTAGAGACATGTATTTGTGGCTTTTCAAATAAAAGGGTGTCAGAGCCAACACTTTATAGCTACTTGACCAAAACTGCAGTCTGAGTACGACTCTCTCCATCTCATTTGCAGTATCTATACACGACAAAATAAACGGAAGCAGTATATAAATTGGGCAACGCACAAAACTGCATGTGAGTATAATTTATAGTCTTCACACCCATACGCTCAAGTTGTTCTCCTAATTTGTCAAATCTTTGTGTTGACAATACACAGCCTGTTCATTAAATTTACTTTGCTAAGTTTTGAGATATTGTAACATAAAACACAGATTCATGTGTAAAAGAGATCCTCCCATCATAAAAAGCATTTCCAAGCACCTTTAAAGGGGAATCAAACCTGTTTAATTTTTCATAGTATGCCAGGGTCCATCCTAAGGTTTAGACAGCTGTGCTGGAGGCTAAATTACATCAAACATATTATGTTCAATGACACAAAGTTCAACACTGGCTCTATTCTTATTCACAGTCAAAGGAAGAGCAGACGTGTGCATGTTTTTATAATCAAAGGCCTAAACCGCCACATACTGCTTTTGGTGTTTTGCTTGATCCTGAGGCCTGTTAGATCATTACACAGATGTTAGAGATGTTACCACAGCAGAAAAGAAGAGGTCTTTATCTTCATCTACCACATCCATCCCATCTGAAGGAAACCTTCCCTTGGGGTCCAGCTCTAGTTACCAACTGTTTATGAACAAAGTCCAGGAGCAGCTCTACCAATCTTAAAACTACTACAATGATAGTATCTAACAGCATTAGTTGTTGTTTCAGAGGCCTAAATGTGAGATAACATGCTTTTCTTTGGCTTGCTATGGGAAATATCTGTCTCAGACATGCATCCTTCTGGCAATGTGTTCATTGGCAATTTTATGAGCACTATGGTTTCAGATTTACCTTTGATCTGCACCTTTGATCTCCTCACACTTTTGGCATGGTATGTTCAACACATGCTATAGGCATTTTGACCTCATTATATTGTCAGCCTACAGATTTTGAGTTGATTCTTTTGAATGGTTATAGTTTGGGGCAGGCATCGATTTTCGACGATCAGTTGAGATCACTCACTGATAAATTGACAAAAGTAAATTACAAGGTCCATTAAAGCGGCAGCAGGAGAGGGCCTGTAATATATTTACATCAAACCAACCATGTGTGCACTGCCATATGTGAGCTCCATATGCTTTTATAAAACCTGTCACAAAACAGAGAAACCGCTTACTCATACTTGAGCCAATCAAGTGCAATCTGATAAAACTGCAAGCGTGAGGCTATTTTTAGTTGCATGTGGCTTTCTTCAACTAGTTTAGCTGACCACGTGAGGTAGTTGTGATCTTTCCATAAAACAAGCTGAGCTGTACAACAAGGGTATAGTGTTGGCTTTTGTGTAGAAGGATAAGTCTGTTTATTTTGTGGGAAAGCAAGCAAAACCACTTGTTTGTGTAATGGAATTAGCCAGATTCAGACGCATAAACATACGAAATGCTCATTTAGATAATCACAATCTGTCAGTGTGAATCAAACCATCCTCTCTTTCGGCCAACTGGCTGAAACATCCTGTGAATGCTGTGAACAAACACAACATTATAATGTGAACCATTTTTTGTACACACTTCTACAAGTTTAATATTTAAAAATACAATAGTTACTATTTTGCATTATTAAATTATGTATAATGTAATAATATTGTTGTACATCTGTTGAATTGCCTAAATTAAAATAAAACATTCAAATTTCGGATACATAATAACATTTTCAGAATTGGGGGGGAAATGTTCTTGATTGATATTAAAACCATGTCACAGTTACTGCAAAATTTGCCTCCTATATTTGCTGAATATTTAATATTAATGCATTTTTGTGTGAATTGAAATGTCACAGCCATTGAGAAATGACTATTACATTTATTGCAACAATAAACAGCGCCAGGAGATGATGAAAGGTTAATGTAATCATTCGTCTTTAATCTAATGTCTTTGTTTCAGCTCTCTTTACGGCCTGCTTGTGTTGCATGAGCTAAATGTTTGATAGGAATAAATGTCTCTAATTAACACTCCATATGGTTACCATTAAGATTTCACTGCCTAATGCACTGAATGAACACAACATGAGCCAAACAAAGCCATGATATTGAGAGCTTGTTTGTGTGGCTGTTTGGATACAGAGGCTCAATTTGCTTCTGCACTGCAGTTCAGATGTAAAATATTAAACAGTTACAATTTCCAAAGGTTTTCATGTCCAGAAGAACAATAAACAAAATAATACACTGCAACGGGAAAGATTAAAATATAAGAGAAAGTCTCCCATCTCTCATTCGTTTAATTAAATGTGCCACCTACTAGTTTAAAGAAAGAAAACAGTGGCTCTTTGATAAAGACATATGTACATTAAATTATAAGTGCTTACGAATTTACACACACCCACAAATATTCATAAAACGTTAAGTCAAATATTGCTATAAAACTTGTTCCTGTAACATTCTATTGCTGCATTATTTATTAACATTTTGACTTCAGTGTTTTTAAGGAAGAAACTGTGTGATTCACAGTGAAGTTGAAGTGCTCTGATCTACTAGTCAGCTTAGCCAGTAGGTGAGATCTTGTGCATTTTCTATGTGGATGAAGGGTAGAAGGTTCATTCTGTCCTTTAAGGAGGTCATGTCCTACATTTTATATCATTTTATTGTTTCCCTGAAGTCCACTTTTAATAAGTCATGGTTTCATGCACAAAGAACAGTCATAATTTAGTTTTATATGAACACTATACCCAATCTAAACCTAAGATTTAAAGGGCTAGTTCAACCAAAAATGAAAATACTGTCATCATTTACTTTTTTTTTTTTTTTTTTTTTTTTTCAAAAAAAAAAAAAAAAAAAAAAAAAGCATGCACATCTTTGGTGCTTGGTCATGTAAAGTAAATCAAGAAAAAGTAGTGTGTCAACAGTTTTCTTGATTTACTTTAATAGTGAAGTTTAATAGTGAAAATTACTGAAATTACATATGGGTGAATCTCACAAAAGCACATAAGGAACATGTCTGGGTCATATTTCACCCTAAAATTAAAAGAAATACATTTTATTGGCCTTAAATATATTCTATATATTTAAATGTTAAAAATATTTATATATTTAATTGTAGTATTTGCTGTATTGCTTTTTATATACTGTTTTAAATAATAATAAAAAAAAAATACATTACTAAGAATCTAATGGCTCACCACTGAGAATAATTGGAATTTAAAAAACAATACTCAAAAGTAAAACATCCAAACACATTACAGTAAATGTGAACAACCATCATTAAAAGAATCACTTTTTTCTATTTGATTTTAGGGTGAAATTTATGGAAGCCAGTTTCCATCACAGAATTTAAAAAAATAAATAAATAAATGAAAAAATAAAGGTAATTGTGTCTTTTTAACTGACAAACTGATCTGACTGAGAATTCAGAATTATAAGACAAACTCATAATTTTAAGAAAAATTTCAGAATTGCGAGATGTTAACTCAATTTCGAGAAAAAATAATTTTGAGATGTTAATTCACAATTGCAAGAAAAAAAGTCAGAATTGTGAGATAAAAATGTGCAATTACTATTTTCATTTTTATTCCATGGCACAAACAACTACAAAAACAAAAAAAAAAACAGGATTATGAGATGTTAACTCAGATTTCGGAGAAAAAAAAGTCAGAATTGCAAAATGTAATCGTAGAATTGTGAGATGTAAACTCTTCGGCTTCCATAGAAAAGTGACCTGGACATGTATGTGAAAGATCCACTTAACCCAGTGCAAAAATATTACAGTCCATAGCAATGTGTTGGTTAAAATAAAAAGATTAAAAGTCTACACTCATGAGCTAATAGTCCTCATCTTCATTTATATTACTGTGGTCAGGCATCACGTAGACAGACTTGCTCTTCTTCTTGCGGCCTTTGGCGTTCTCTAGCTCAGGTACTGATGTTAAAGACAGATAGGCGGCTATGCTGCTCCTCACACCGTAGCTCATCATGTTATGTTTGCTGTCCGCATTATCCAGCTCGCTTGGGCTCATCAGCTGTGACCTATTCATGCGGGGAAATACCAGTCATTCTATACAAGCTCAGCAAATGGAGGAAATGCTTAGCAGCATCTAAAAAGACAGAGACGTACTTATTCACTTTCTTCCAATCCAAGTTACGGCGCATTACCACAGGAGGCGCTTCCTGGGATGTGCTCTGGGCAGGGTTGGACAGAGCCAGACACGGAGCACTGAGAACACAACATATACCATCCGATGAGTCTGAGGGAAAACCAAAACACATTAGCATTAATGTATCACATACTCATTCCACATTACAAGCAGAACATCAGAGTTTTGTCTTTAGCTCTCACCAGAGTAGTGACTGACCATGTCCTCCAGACACTGAAAGGTAAGCCGTGGGGAGATGTAGTACCAGCTATTAGTCAGACGGAATATTTTATAGTGCTTTATGGTCCTGTGTCTCACAGAGAGAGAATATACACCTGCAGGGAACAGCAGTTATGACTGCATTGTCTTTTTCACTTGCACTGACACTTATTGCCGTAATGTGTGTGAATGGAAAACTTTATGTGGTTAGTATGCAACAGTAGAAGACACTTCCAGGTACTTACCTCTTTCTCTCGGACTTTCTCTAATTAGGAATGATCCAACACCGTTACCAGGCAATGACAAAAGCTCTTCTGCCTTCTGTCTGCTAATCCCCTCAAACAGCCATCTTTAGAAACATAACATAGTAAAGAGGAAATTATATTAACAACTGAAAACAATGACTTCACAATTCAGTATAAATGAAGGTCTTATATAAATAACAATGTTCTCCATAAATAAATGTTTACTGGTGTTTCACATGATATGGTTTATAAACTGTATGCAATAAAATCAAAAGAAGTTCACTACTATTCAAAAGTTGGTAACACTTTAGAATAATGGTCCGTTGTTAACAAGTAACTATGCAGGAAGTAATAGGTAGTACTACATTAACACTTAACTTAATACTATTAACTAATAGAGAAGCAAGATTAACTAAGCAGTAAGTAGTAGCAAATTTAGGACAAAGGTAGTTAGTTCCTTATTAGATATTTGATAATTATTAAATAAAAATATCCTCATTGAGAACTACTTGTGAACTATGACCAGTTAATAAAGAATAACCAATTAATTACTAATCACAACAGTAACGTCTTAAAAGTGAACAATTGGGTTCTTTGTGGAAACTAATTTATGAATTTGATATCCCCCAAATAAGTTGGCTACATTTTAAAATTGTGACTACTACTCTTACCAAAGGATGGATGTTCTCTGTTTATTTTAAACAAAAACATGAAATAATAATAAAAATAATTCATTTAAAAATTGTGACTACTACTCTTACCAAAGGATGGATGTTCAAACTTAAACATAGAATAATAATAAAAATGAAAATTCACTTAAAAATGTTAATAATTAAGAAGTGATGCTGACAAGCTCATGATTGAATTAGTTCACAATTATGATCTCTGCTTCGTGTCAGTTCAGTATCAATGTATCCCACTCCAAAAGACCTACTGGTAAAATATCACTAGTGCTTCACACAAATGTATGACTGTACAGTATGTCAGATAGAAAATATGTTAAATAACTTATTAATTTACTTGAGTAATTATTGAGGGGTTAACGTGTTTTTCACATTAAAATAATGGTCCAGATCACTAGTAGTTCTCATAAATTAGTTTCCACAAAGAACCCAAATGTTCACTTTTAAGACGTTACTGTTGTGATTAGTAATTAATTGGTTATTCTTTATTAACTGGTCATAGTTCACAAGTAGTTCTCAATGAGGATATTTTTATTTAATAATTATCAAATATCTAATAAGGAACTACCTTTGTCCTAACTTTGCTACTACTTACTGCTTAGTTAATCTTGCTTCTCTATTAGTTAATAGTATTAAGTTAAGTGTTAATGTAGTACTACCTATTACTTCCTGCATAGTTACTTGTTAACAACGGACCATTATTCTAAAGTGTTACCCAAAAGTTTTGGGTCAGTAACTTTTTTTTTTTCTTCAAAGAAATTATTAGTATTCAGCAAGGACACATTAAGCAAAAATGACAGTAAAGACATTAATGATATTAAAAACGTTTCAAATAAATGCTGTAATTAAATGCTCTTTTTAAAACTTTCTATTAATCAAAGAATCCTGAAGAAATGTGTTATGTTTTCAACAAAAGCAGCACAACTGTATTCAACAATTGTAATAATAAAAAATATTTATTGAGCAGCAAATCATTATATTAGAGTGATTTCTGAAGGATCATGTGACAATGAGGATTCATTTCATTTAATTAACATAGAAAATTATTTAAAATTGAAATGATATTTCACAACATTACTGTTTTACTGTATTTTGATCAAATAAATGCAGCCTTGCTGTGCATAAGAGATTTCTTTTGGAGAAAAAAAGAAAAAAAAACTTACCCACCCCAAACTTTTGAATGGTAGTGTAAATAAAGGCTTTATAATCTTCTGAAAGAGATTACAGGAAATTGTCTCTAGCGACATTTATCATTCGGTACTTATTGTATTATGTCCAGATGTTATTTTGAATTTGGGAATATATTTCTAGGATCATCATGAAACATACATCAATGAGGATAATTAGTCTAAAATTACCCATGATAAACCTTTGCCACATAATTACTTGGAATGTAATTCTCAGTTCCTGTTTGAAGAGAACGGACTTTCCACCAGCAACCATCTCTGTAAAGCATTGACGAGTAAATAAATAGTCATTTTATGGGTTGCATGCGTATACATATATTAATTAAAATAAAAATGAAATATGCATTTCACAAGCTGCTGATGCATTATATATTAGCAGGCATTTATTGTTATATAGCATCAAAAACGTCGTATTTCACCGAAAGAACACTTACTCAGAGAGACCTTTGAGTTTGTCCCCTATCCTAAAGATTGGTTCACTAATGTCTCGACATGGGTAATCAGTGAGCACCACAAGACTGTCACAGTCTGTAAATGTAGATTAACAAACAGTATAAATAATGTCAAAGACCCACGTTAATACACATTTAAGCAACAGACTTCCCATAGAGCAGGTGATGAACCATAGCTTACCTTTAAACATGGTGTCAAAGTTGTTAGGCTCTGGGTTTGTCTTTTCCTGCCTCATCACATTGCCCATGATGGCCGTTTAGAGGCCGCAGCTCTACAGATACTGGAATGTTAAAGGCACATTTCAGTATGAGTTCTGCATCTGATTGTCCAACAGCTAATGCAACAGCTGTTTTAATTTTGCAACTTCCTCTCAGCTAATGTGTTATCTCTACCAAAAAATAGAACGGGGAAGCTGCGGAGAGCCCAAGTCTACCACTATTTTCCACTTAACTTCTTCCTGACAATGTCAATATTTAACATTTCTACAGTGCAAACAAAAAGTATATGCACCACTGAACTTATTTTTTAATTTTTTATAAAAACAATTTTTTTTATTGTTTTATTTTTTTCTGATCTTTTTATGGTTATTTATTTCTACCTTTTTTAAACATTTGTTAGATGTTTAAAACACATGGAAAAAGGCATTTAATCATAGCCATAAATTGCCTTGTTTGTTTGGGTCTCATCACTTAAAATGCCATTTTGCATCACAGGCCTTTAACCAACCTCAACATTACGTCAAAATTTTGACATAAATGCATAGAAGTGGTATGTGCACATTTTTTTATTCCTCAGAAATTCTTAATGTAATATTTTGTAAACATGATAAATCAAACCATGGATAGAGGGAGATTACTGGAAGTAACTAAATGGATGAGACCCAAACAGCATCCTTACACTTGACACTCTTTTTCCCTGCAGCGAAACACCGTATGAATGTCAAAACTCCATTTTATTTCCCACTCCACACTAACAGAAATATGCTAGGCACATAAATTAGTTTTCTTACCTCTCACTTGAAGCAGTTAAATATCCATGTTTCCTCCAGAGGGCAAAGCTTCAGTTCTGGCTGGCTGCTCCCAATAAAGTTGAAGCAGGTGGTTCAGAGTAAAGAAATACTGTCCTGGTCTCAGACCGAAGGCCAACAGTAAGAGCAGTTGTGTTGTAATGGCCTGCACTGCTCTGCAGGCTTATCTAAACTGAGCGCTGGTCTACTGAAAAACAGCACATAGCCACATACTTCCTCTGGTAAAATGAGGAAGAGTTCCCTAACCTTGTCTTCCTTCAATGTGCACCAACAAAAATGATTACACATTCTTAATGCAAATAAAAATACAGTATAGCAAACCCTTTTTTAATGCAAATAAGTACAGTTTGCAATGTTTGTGTTTACAATTTAAATATACGTGGTTTTGGTGCTTTCAGTATCATAGAGTGCTCAAATGGGTATTGTGCAACTTCCTGTGTATGGCATTAGTGGGTGAATGTCTGGGTGTGAGTGCGTCTAGATGTGTGAATTTCTGTCTCAGAAGCATAACGCCTATAGCCACACATTAAAATGGCTTTAATGATACAAAATGTAGTGATAAACATTAGCCTTTTAGCTTTAGCCTTAGTGTTTTTATTAGCTTTATTTAGGTTTTCATATGACCCTGCAGATCCACCTATATGATTTACCATAAAAGGTGGCTACACAACTGAGAATTTAGCATTTGTTCTCCAAATGAGAGGCCATTTTTGTACATTTTTAGACATCAGCTGGAAAAAAGGAAGTGTGTCTGTTCATGCATGAGTAGGGTGACCATACGTGCCATTTTCCCAGGACGCGTCCTGGGAAAATGGTACGTATGGTCACCCTATGCATGAGTGTTTATGCATTCCACATGCTACTAATACATGTGAAAAAATTAACACTATACAACCATCCCAAAACCTTACGCCTCTGGAGACCTGCAATATACAATAAACTCCATTTATAGTTCAGTTTTACAGATGATGATGCAAACTGTAAAACGCTTAAAGGTGTCCATTTATTTTACTGCATTGAAATCACCACCATATCAACCAGTTGTATTCTTTGGGCTGCAAAACTAAAAGATACGTGACAGATGACTCGAGAGTATTTCTGCTTTCTAAATGTCCCTTATTGTGCAGTGCTATGAATATTCAACTAGCTGCTGGCCATGTCCAAGTACCTCATTTTCTCTTTTTCAGAGTCTTGAACTTCTCTTATTTTTATAGTTTCATAACTTTGTTATTAGCAGAAACACATGAAATTAAATTAATAGAGTTAAATACGTTAATAGTTTTAAACACACTTTTAAACAGTTTTTCAAGAAGTGGATACCTAATGATGCAACATTTGAATTTGTTGTCAGTCTGGCTGCCACAACCTTTCAGTTACCCTGTTTCCTGTGCATTTTCACAGTTTCAGACAGGTCGCAGGATTCATTACCGCTGATGCACTCATCAAAGTTTAAAATTATGCATAACAGATCAGGTCAGCAGAACTGTCCAATTTTTATACACACTGGTGTAAACATATGAGATCAGAGCTGTTAAAGCCTAAAAATATGTGTTCAACAAATTAAATTTGTGAATAGATATGATACATTAATTATCTTGAGTAAGCTTGACTGATCTGGTTCAGACTCATATGTCTTTACAACCGGAATGCACCAGCAAAAATATGGATAAAGTGTCTAACACACTGCCAAAATAATACTTTTAGAGTAGTAGTGAAATACATTTGTTTCCCCTCCATTTCTGCTGATTACTCAATGTGGAAAACTGATTTTATGTCCTTGGAGTTTTGAACAGGTTAAAGTGCAGTTGTGTCTCTTTTCTAATGCTTTCTTAAAGCATCATAATTTGATGAGCAGAAACAGAGTAGGATTACAAAGTTCAGCTCTATCATCACGTGGAGACAACACTTAATCTCGTCATTAATTCACACTATTTGCTTCATTACTTTCTGTATGCTCAACATGATTATTAGCCTAAACCCTAAAACTGATCATGCTGTAGAAAATGCATTTCCAAACGTTTAGTTGTGGCTTACATTTTAATGTCCTTTTCCATTGAAAAATATGTGCACTTTTTACTTTTTGACAGGGAATTGGAATCAAAAGAGTGATCTCCGTCTGGGAAAGCCATCAGTGCTGTTCTACTTATCAACTGCATATTATCCGCTCACTTCTCACCCATATAAACTTCATTAATTGCCAAAAGCTACAAACCAGCTGATGCCATTACCACAAATATGACTCTCTATTTACATAATAAATATTTTGTGAGATCACAATCATTTTCATTTAAACTCAACAAAAAGTCTACTGGCTTAGGCTATACTTCTCATTATTAAGAAGCACTAGGACATGGAATTAACTTCAAATCTGCCAAGTAAACCTGTGGAGTCTACAATAGCACTTTCTATTAGTTTTAGAATAATTCAAATTCTTCTGCACACAATTAAAATGGCCTTTATCTATATTTTCAACGCTGTTTTGATCCGCAATGTTTCGTTTGGCAACATTCACACTTATTCAAATTAAGCCCACTAGCAGAGCAATCGCACCAGAGTTTGTTTTATTCAAACCAAACCTGCCAAGTGTGAACTAAAAGTTTCATTTTCAGTAGCGACAGTAGTTCAGCTGTTTTTGAAACAGTGCAAAACATCATCTGAGTGTACGCACAGAACTAAGTTTAACTAGCAGTGGTCAAAGATAGCTATATATATCTAACGCATGTCAGCATAGCAAAACAGCTTGGGTGGACACAAACACTTCCGGTGTGTATAGCAAATCTATACAGACCATTTTGCAAACTTATCTGAACAATTAAAGTCCACAAGCGTAACACTTGCTTAAAGGGGTCATAGGATGCCCATTTTCCACAAGTTGATATGATTCTTTAGGGTCTTAATGAAAAGTTTATAACATACTTTGGTTAAAATTTCTCAATGGTAGTGTAAAACAACACCCTTTTTACCCTGTCAAAAACAGCTCTGTTAACAGCAAGCCGTTATGGTGCATTTCCCTTTAAATGCTAATGAGCTCCTCCGCTCACCCTGCCGCTCTCTTCTGTGAGGTGACACGCAGTTCTCTGAGAGACTGTAAACTTTAGCCGCATTCATCGTGAAACTTGCTAACTAGCACATTATTAGGAAAGGCAATTTGCAAAATTCATTAAAAAACGTATACTCACTTCTTCTGTAGGTGAGGCTGGATCAAGAATGATTCACGCGAACATAGACGCATTTAGGTAGATCGGGGGCGCATTCCCACTGGAATAAAGTTGGCTTGACCTTGGACGTTCGATATTCGCAAATTTAGGGACCGTTTCTAAAGTTACCCATCATCCCTTGCTCTGATTATTGGTCCATTACTCTCAGCTGTGTGTGATTTGAGCTACTCAGCTCACCTGTATTTATACCCTGCGGTCTGTGTCATTGGTTGCTGCAGTATTGATTTTGTTACTTTGTTTTTGTGTTTGTGAAATGTTTTCTGCTTTTTTGCCTTGCTGTGGATTACTGTTTTGGGACTATAGTAAAGTACTGGCATAAAGTTGACTTGACGTTGCACGTTCAATATTTGCAAATGTAGGGACCTTCTCTAAAGTTGCATGCGATATTGGTATACACTTTTCTAACTTCAATAGCATTTGAGGAGAATGACTTACAGTCATAAAAACAACCGTAAAGTGTTCATCTAGGTGTCATCTATAATGCACACCTTTTACAGCCAACTTTATGATGCCAGTCGCATTCCCTTCAAAAACAAACGTAATCCTCTGTGTCTTCAGCGGCTCAGCTGTCGGGAGTAAATGACGACTGCTATGTTTATTATTACATCCAACAACAAAACACCTCAATCGCTTAGGAGCCATTCTTGTCAACACCTGCTCCAACGTTGAAAAAATGGCGGACTGATGACAGCTCACTCAGGGTGGGTCTAGGGTAAGACGTCATTTCAACCCTTCGAAGCTCTCACTCCGGAGGGTAAACCCTTTGAAGGGATTAGGGCATAGTGATGAGCCCTTCCAAATGGAACGCAGGGAGTGTCAATCAACAGTCGTGGGAGGGGCCTGGGTTTGTGTGATGTCACACAGCCAAGAATCTGAGAACGGCTTGATTTTAGAAAGGGTTCATGATTTATCAATATTTTTAAAAAACCACTGGGTGGATTTTTATCATTATAGGGTGGTTGTGTACACACACTACATGACATGTACATGACTCCTTTAAATAGGCCTACTCACGGGAAAAAAATTAAATAAAAAAAAACATGGCAGTGTAGCACCACCAAACGCTGTTTAATGTCTGAGCTGAGTAAAGAATAAAACGCTTACCCAAACAGCTGTTTCTTGCATAGCCAAGTCCGATTCACTCTACTTAATCGGTTCGCCTCTCTCTCTTATAAGTAGCGCTGTAAAGTCTGATTCATTCTAGTGAAACGGTTTATTCTAAACTCATTCGAACAGTTAAATAATAATACAAAAATAAATAATAATAATAAATCTGTTCACGTGAATGAGCAGATTAAAGAGTTAACTGAGACATGTTTTCAGCTAGACTACATAAATTAGGATGTTTGAACTCTATTTACTATAAATTAACGTGTTCAACTTTGAACCCCTTATTTTTTTATATACCAGCAAAACATCTGAGTAAATTATTGTATACAGTATATAGCCTAATTAATATTGGATAGTTTTTACTTATAAAACATATTTATTGCCCCTTTACTTACAAAAGTTATCCATTTGTACTGAAGCTAACTATTTTTCCATAATAGTTAGCTTGTCGGGAGTAAATGACGACTGCTATGTTTATTATTACATCCAACAACAAAACACCTCAATCGCTTAGGAGCCATTCTTGTCCCCAACGTTGAAAAAATGGCGGACTGATGACAGCTCACTCAGGGTGGGTCTAGGGTAAGACGTCATACGGTGCATTCCAAATGGGATATATCGCCCTCCGAAGGGCACTTCGGAGTGAAAACAATCATGGCCGCCATATTGAAGGGTCGTTCAAAACCGAAGTGCTCAAAACTGGCCACTTCAAAGGGCCCTTCGGAATTAAGGATTTCGAACGGTACAACTGATGGACACTTCGGGCTCCCATGATCCTTTGCGCAGATTCTTTGCATGATGACGGCGCCTCCGTGTGGGCACTTC